AAATCATCCAGAGATTCTTCCCTCGAATTCAATAAAGGTTCAACGACTTCCATTTGTTCGTTGATGGTCTTTAATTCAACTTCTTCGTTCTGAGGCTTTGGAAATGCAATAGCAGCAAGTTGTGGGGACACTATTCTGACAAAGTTTGCGATTCCATCTAAAGTTTTTCCGGTGAGCTTTCGTCGATCGGGACGAAGAAAATCAATGTGGGGAACGAACCAAGGAGCCGCTGGAGCTTCTTCAGCTTCTTGTTTCTGCTCAAGTCTCAATTTTGCACCATCTTTGTTTGGATGTTGAATTGGAACTACTGAATTGACTTCAATTTGAAGCATGTTCTGCAGAAGCGGTATAACTGGAAAGAGGTCTCTGACTGCCTTCAATTCACCGCACTCCATGTCGGTCCATCTCTCCATCTCTTTGTTGTACGTAACGCGACTGTGAAGTGGAACATGCTATTTTGAAGGTATTGAGTGAACTCACCTGCTAAGATAGATCAGTACAATAAGAGCGAATGCTGTGAATGCAATCGGATAGAGAACCAAAGTAATCAAGCAAATCCACCACAGTGTATCGAGATTGACGGGAAATCCCAAGAGCTTAACCAGCGCTTCATCAGTCTCGCCAAGTATTGCAAAGTCAACAGTGAGAATTCCAACCGCAGCCTGAGCGTAAGAGATCAATGCGTAATCGGCAAGGAAAACCCAAAAACGTCCAGGATGAATAAGTGTCGGGAAATCCTGACGCAATCGGAACAGATGTTTGAATGAGCGTCGCAAATAAACAATCCAGAGAATCACGTATGAGATTGCTCCGCCTGCAACGATCATAAATGACACTCGAATGGATCCAATGTATTGAATAACTTTGTTGCGTGCTTTGATTCTTCTGTCGAACTAAGAAACGAAGCGGATAGAGAGATCAGAAAACCGCGAGTGCTTACGTCATCGAGAAGCTCTTGATTGTCCTCCTCACTGAGTTGACCTGTCGGAGTGAGTCTCCTAAGAACATCTTCGGTTGTTGTGTCATCAGAAGCCTTTTTATCGATGAAATTCTGGACAGCCGCTACTGCATCGGCAGGATGAAGATCAGCAGGAAGCGGGAAATGTAAAAGAGACTGTAAAGTTCTGAAAAATTCTCGCTGGCGTGTTTGCTTCAAACGTTGCAAAATATTAGTGTTATTTTGAACAAGAGGCAATGGTGGGGGATTCAGAAGATCTGAGAGGTAACGGAGAGACGGCAGTTGTAGGGGAGAACGACGTATTGGTGAGAAGTAAGCAAATGGGAGTGACGATTTTTCATATTCAAAAACATCAAGATCGTCTAGATCTTCATCTCCTTCTGACTCTTTATCACCACTGGTTTCAAACTGAAAATTAAACTTGTTGAAACACGTGGAGAAGTCATGCCAAGTCTCAGGATTTCCGTTCAGCGCGTTAGTCATCGAGATGAACTAAACAAGCAAAGAAAGAGACAGTTTCACATGACAAGTCATGACAACGGTCATAGATATACATGCATGTGCATGTGACATGACACTTGAATCATGTAGGCCCATTTGACATGCAGCTCTGCTACGCGCGACATTACATGTAAGAATTTTGAGTTACTAATGAATCCCGCTCCTCCTTGGACAGCAGAGATTATAAACGAAGTGACGCCAACGAAATTAGCGAGAGTTTGAATGGATTTATAGGACGCGTACCAGACGGAAGGTCTAAGAATATAAAAAAATGAGATGCAATTTGGATGAGATCTATAGACAAATGTACCTGCCCACTTGCACCCGATATGTTTTGGGAACGATCGCGTCTGGATGTTTGACTTCGATTGTAAATTTTTCGACTTCTCCTTTGTGTACTAAAAACCATTGAGAGCGCCATGTCTCATTATTAACGGGATTTAATGAAGTGTAGGAAGAATCTGAAAGAAAAAAGAGTTGAGATGCTTCTTAGCAATTCCAACGAGTTTGTATGTTCAATTGAATCGAAGCCAAAAAAGATGAAAGCTTCAAAAACGACTTCAGCTAGATTTTTATGAGACGATCAACTCACCGGAAACTCTAACTGTTGCATCTTTACTTTCAGGAGTTGCTATGAATGCGACACCCTTAACATCGTGAGGCATTGATACAGAATAAGAAGTTCTGAACAGAGCAAATGCGTCGAATTCCAAAATGGTAGATTCAAAAATGATTGAATTTAAAAATTCATGTTTTTCTCTTACGTCTCTTTTTCAAACTCAATGGCGTTAACTGCTCCTATCACTTCAAGAGATTCCAGAAAGTTATTAGCGTCTGGAAGCAAGATGACCATATAACGTTCAGAGAATCCTGGCTGGTCGACTTCGATATGAATATATTCTGTCGTCAGGCTCGCATTTCGGTAGAAGCGGAAATGTCCAGAAGTGCCTAAAATTCCAGGAGTCCGATTTTTGTCTGTCACATTCCTTCCGTTAACCAGAAGAGTCGCATCGGGAAGATACGTGGTAAGACTCAGATCGACGTAGTAGCTTTCATAAAAAGCGTAGTAAGTATATGTGTGGGGGTGAAAGGGGGGATCGAGGGACGCTCCACTGACAACGAGATCAGCGAGGTTTCTATTAAGGAATGGCAAAATTGGTCTAAATCTGATTGTGTAGCGAGTTGTTTTTGTAAATCTTCGGTTGTACGCAAACACCTCGATACCGGTAAGATTTGATTCCATAGACCTGTGGGGATCTGGCGTGAATTCAAGAAATGCTGCAGCTTCAAGGCCTCCTTTATCGAGAGTGGAAGAATGGAAAGCGGCAATTCCAGGCCGCTTCGCAACAGCAACGACAAGAAGAGGGAGATATGGTGCGACATCGACAGTGTAGTCGAATACAATTGGATCAAACGGGATGGATGGGACAGGATCACCGGAAAGAGACAAAAACTTGATTTCATTGAGAAGGGGAGCCGCATGATTATCGCCGAGCACTTCAATCGAGAAACAATGACAATCCGAATTGATGTTGGGAATGATTGTTGAATTGGATGCTCGAAGCCTTTTCATAATTGTTGGAGAACATAAGCAATTCGTGACGAGAACTCTTGAGCTTTGGTCAATGGACGTTGGGAAGCGGACAACATCTTGAGAATTGAGCGCAACTTCTTCTCCTGTATTTTCGTCAACGAGTGAGTAATTGTTGATTGTTGTATTCATGGAATAAAGAAGATAAACATTCGTGAACGGACATGCAATTGTAACAAATCGACCATTTTGCCTCAATGGCTGGACAACTGTACATCCAGGATTTGTTCGAATTGACAAAGGCAAGTCCCAGTCGCCTTGTCTGACGACAAGCTTCGACTTCCCTGTAGCTTCATCCAGATCCTCATTGTTAGCGGCCAGACGACGAAGCCGATGAAATTCGAACGACCCAAGGATTTCTGAACAAGATATCTCGACAAGGAACACATTGATGAACAAAATTAAACTAAAAATTGTTGGGCTTGATGCTTTCACCATCCTTGTTGAGAGTTTAAAAAAAACAGGTCTTTTTGTTCGACAATCAGCAATCGGCAGCCGAACATGTAACGGGCCTCGGAAAGCATCAACCAAGCGACCTGAATTTGCAGTTCGCATGCTTGTGTGGCCAGGTATGCTCTAAAAGATTGACCACTGTGTAAAAAAAAGGGTTGCCGAAAATAAGGACAAGTAAAAACATGTTTCTTGAGGACGATACTTGTTAGACGTGCTGACCTTGATCTTTATGAAGGTACAGCGCTCTAAAAACGGAATCAAGAATCAAATTTGGGACAATTAAGAACCAAATTTGGGACATCAATCGACTGTACCCATCATTTCTTCCATCATATGAAAATCCTTGGAACATGTCGTCCCGAACCGCTTGGGACAACGCTGAATCTGGAACCTCGGAATTATTCGCCGGAAGTTTTACGAACTCCTGCAATCATTTTTATGTACAAGAAACCAGCGACTCTTCTCACTTTATCGAAATATTGAACATCTGTTTTAGACACCAAAGTCGGTCGAAATGGCGGAGGTTCGAGCTTGTAATAAACACGCTGCCAATCAACAGTTGCGAAGAAAGGATGCGCTTTGATTTCCTCAGCGTCACGCTTCCCTCCTCCTAGACGTCGATTGGGGTCCCGCTGGAACAAACCGATAAGGAGAGACTTCGCAACGGGCGATATAAACGAAGGATATCGGAGTTCAGCACTAAAAATCAACAATCAGATATTGAATCAATAAATAAATAGCTCACCTTCGAATGTTCTCGAATAGAAGCTCCCGATCGCGAGTATAGAAGGGAGGAAGACCAGTTAGCATTTCATAAATTAATGCTCCTATCAGGAAAATGCTCAGAATCTAATGATGTCAATGGGTAACAAACAATGACGCCTCATGGTACGGAGAAATGTTCATAGCGACTCACCCAAACTCCACCAATCGACAGCTTTTCCATGCCCTGTTTGATTTAGAATTTCAGGGGCAAGATATTCAGGAGTCCCGCAGAGGGATTTAGCAGAGAAGTTATCCTGTACCCCTTCCTTGGAAAGGCCGAAGTCAGTTAGACGCACATGACCCTCCTCATCTAGAAGAACGTTTTCGGGCTTTAAGCTGAAGAAAACATTTAGAGTCGAGTCCTTAATTGTATTCTTACTCTCTGTAAACGATATCAAGCTTGTGCAAATGCTCCAAAGCGAGTACGATTTCAGAAGCATAATAACGAGCACGTCCTTCAGATAAACGACCAGCTAGAGAGAGGTGGAAAAACAATTCACCGCCAGGACAATATCTGCAAAAGATGAGATAAGCAAACTGACGCCTGATCAACGTACTCCATAACGAAATAGAGCTTCTTTGGAGTTTGAAATGCAAAATACAATTGGACAATAAAAGGGTGATTGATCGATTCTAATACATTTCGCTCAGTCTTTGTGTGTTCAACCTGATTGCGCTTAATAATATTCTCCTTGCGCAACATTTTCATCGCATAAACACCTCCATCTTGCTTATATCGAACCATCATCACCTTCCCTGCAACAATGAATTCGAATATCTTCAGGAACAGCAATCTCTTGCTTACCATAGGAACCTTTTCCAATCACCTTCAACAGAACGAAATCTTCAGGAGAAACTTTTCTTTGGCTGTATTTGCTGATCCCACCCTGCAATGCGAGATTAGCGAGGTTGTCAGTCACAACGCCAAGCTCTCCGAGTTTCATCTCGGAGGCGGGATCCTCATACATCGTTGTGCCCTGTGAGGAAATGCTGGTCTGAACTGTGGGGCGCTGATGGACGAAATGGGCGTCTCCAGATGGGGGGGTGGGCTGATTATGTCGAAAAAATCCACCGAACATTGGGTGCCTTGAGAAATTGGTTGAGGAAAAACGAAAAATATTGTAGTCTTTAAGATGATGGCATCGAACGAACAGACATGCGGTCCCTTAACTAGGACGGTCCAGTGAAGGACTAGGAGCGTCACAAAAATGATCACTTCCCTTTCGAGATGGAAGTGTCGTCATGATGGTCTCGATGAACAATCCGAAGCAGAACAGAAAACATCATCGTCATCATCTTCATCACTTCCTCCAAATGCAAAACGAAACGATAAAATGATAACATTGGGATTATTAACCCCGAATAATATTGAGGTTGTGAAAAGGATCAACAGAGGCACATTTCCGATGAATTATAGCGAACGATTTTACGATTCAATCGTTGATTTTCGCGAACTCTGTAGACTAGGTACGATCAAGGAAAAGATAATATTCTATAGAGAGCAAGAGTTTATCCTGCAGCCTTCGTTTGCGATATTCCCGTCGGAGCAGTTTGTTGCCGTTTGGTATTTCCTGGTGATGCAGCGAAGGATTTTTCAAGTTCTTCAAGTTCAGACATCATTGATACTTCAAATCCTTCTCTAACTCCCCCAAAGTTACATCAATGGCAACTAACAACCCCTCAGGGAAGACCCACAAAAAAGTCGACGGACATCCCAACTGCACGGCTCTGCATTATGACGCTTGCTGTTCTTGCTGCTTATCGTCGCAGCGGTATCGGTAAGAGATGGATAAGTTGCTTTGTGAAGATGTTTGTTCATTTTCAGGCTCACTGCTTCTGCAATGGGTTGTGGATCGATGCAAACAACTGCGATCTGGAGAGGCTGAATTTTGTCTCGGTGGAGTTCCTGGACTTCCACAAGGACAGGGTCAAGTGAATGTTACAGATATCTATTTGCATGTTTGGAGTGCAAATAGAGAAGGGATCGAATTTTATAAAAATCATGGTTTCATACAAGATACCGTTATCGGGGATTACTATAAATCATTAACACCATCGGATTGCATTGTATTTCGGAAGGTCATACCATAGTTGCAAAGGGTTTTTGTTGAATACATGAGCAAACATTTCGAATAGAGAAGGAAGGGAAGCTACTGATACGAGGGGAGTGACTGACTGACACATTTGAGTGTCTGTAGAATGATTTCGAAACTGGGCCGTTGATTCGGATCATGACTCCAGCAAGAAGTCATAAGGGATCTGGAAATGAGCGAATCATCATTATTGATATATTTCGATGAACACTTACACGATAGCGGAGGGGCACTCACGCGAAATCCTAGCGAGACTTGGACGATGACCCTGCGCAACAGCAAGGGCAACATTAACAGGATTCTCCATTCGTTGGTGAGAAATGGATGGAGGGGGAGAAGAATAGGGAATGGATTGAGAAAATATTTCATAAAGGAGGATCCCGAAGGAGTAAACGTCAACTTTCTCGTTGTATGGCTGCGACATGAGAACTTCTGGTGCCATCCAATGGTATGTCCCAACTGCGGCAGTCTGGTAAAGTTCACTACTGCGACCAGACCGAAGTTGGGACAATCCAAAATCTGTGATCTAAAAACCAACAATCAATTTCGGGGGTAGGAATCACTCTACCTTCGCAAGTGGCTCATCAGTTTTTGATCTGATGATATTTGCTAATAAGATATTAAGACTTTTCAAATCCCGATGAATAATTTGAGGAGACATTTTGTGAAGATAAGTCGTCCCTTTAGCGATATCTGTAGCAATCTTTAATTTTTGTTGAATTGTTAATTGCACGATTTGATGATCCGATCTGAAATACACGATAAAATAACGAATCAAGTATTTTAGCATGAAGATTTCAAAGTCTCAGAAGCTCACTTGTCAGGCAAATGCAATAGGGTAAACAAATCACCACCACAACAATATTCCATCACCACAAAGTATGGACGTTTTCTCACTGATGCTCCCATCAATAGGGCGAGATTTGGATGTCGTAATTTCAACAATATTTGAATTTCACGTTGAAATTTTGTAAAACTTTCAGTATCTTCAAGAAGTCCAGACATTTTCTTAACTGCCACTTCCGTCCCTCTCCAAGTTCCTCGAAACACTGTTGAAGTTGCACCAGATCCAACCCGTTGCTCTAATAGAATCTCATTCGGTTCAACTTCCCAACTAGCGTGAGATGACGATGGATCCTCATCTGAAGATCCTCTTGGATAAAACGTTCCACGAGTGAATGGAGAGGGATGTTCAGTATACGGTGTCCCAACCACTCCAGGACTCATTTGATTGTTCATGTGTTGCCCATACATTCGGCGATGATATTGGAAACCTTCATTACCACCACCACCACCATTACCACTATTTTCATCAGGACACTTCCTTCGATTACTCCCGATGACTTCTTTCCTAGTGCGACGATCAGAATCGCCTTTCGATACTGATTGGGACACTCCTGACTTATCCATGTGACCACTAGTTTCAGCAGGAGATGCTTTCGAGCGAGGAGCTTTATCTGTCGCAGGAGACGCGCATCGACCACTCACTGCTTTTCGTTTTCTTTCTGGTGTTTGACTCACAGACGTCCTTCTTCTCGTTGATCCATGTTCGAGCGATGCGAGATCGGAATCAAATGCCGCAAGCATCAAAGAGGATTCGCTGCCGGATGGATTTCCTGATGGTGTCGGAGGTTTGGAAGAAGCGATCTGTTTGTCAGAGAGATGGTTGCGCTTGAAGAGTTCGAAAGATTCTTTAGGGGGACGCGGCAAAGGGAAGTCAGCTGTTAGAACGGAAAAGCTGTTGTCTGGTGTGGATTGTTTCGCGAAAAAAGAAAGGAGTGAATCAGAAGGACTAAGAAGTTCGAAGATGCAATTGTGTATCTGTTGAAGGATTCCAGATTGCTCCGACCACACTTTGTTAAACCGCCCTAGACAAACAGCATGGAAGTGTAATGAGGGGGGACACGAAGAGAGAAAGAATGAAAATGCAGAAATGATAAATGCAAAGATGATAAATAGAATCAAACAACCAAACAGCTGAGAACTGAAGTGATTTACTATTAGCATCAATTTAAGGAGTGAAAACAGAATGTAGTTCAAAGTTGTTGACAGGGACGTGTACCTTTAATCCCATCGACTCTGTGGCGAATTGAGCGAAAAGGTTTAAAAAATGAAGTCCATCTCTCTGATGCTTCATTCGTTCCTGTTTGCAATTCAGCGATTCGAACAGCGATGTGAATTGCAACCGAAAGAATCGAATTGAACTCGATTGGAAAGACGCAGTATAAGAGAGAGATTTTTATAAGATCGTCTTCACAATTTGAAGCTGCCAATAGTCCCAAAGTGGCTCCAAGAATTTCCAACGATTTGAGAAGAGGATCCAGAGATCGCAGAAGCCGTTTTGTGACTTCGAAAGCGTCAGAAAGAGATTCTGCAAGAAGATCGTCGAGTGATGATGTCACATTGAGGGACCAGTTGGCTGAGAAGATTCCGTCATCGTTAGCAACAACAGAAATCCGATGTGTCAAAAATTCGGAATAGGAAATAGTCAAAGCTTCGGATAAACGCCACGCTAAGGATATCTCGCCACTGAAAGCCTCCCCGTGATGCGCTTTTTGCATTAGTGGGCCGACAAGCAGAGGAAACCAATTCGGATTTGTCGTGTCGATTGTTATACCAGATGTCGTTTGAAGAGTCGTGATCCAACAAACTTTAAGCGTTTCATGAATCTGCTGGAGAAACCAATACGCGCTACGCAAGGACAACTTGAGGTCTGACGGTGAAGGTCCTAGTAGAATTTCAAAGTGAATTGCAGCCATGCATTGTAAGAGCACCAGAGGAGGGAGAGAAGTGAGAAGCTGAAGATCATATTTCTTGAACTCTTGAGGAAAATGCAAATAAGAGTTTTGCGTTCCTTTCTCCCACAAACAATCGATGAAGTGAGAAAACGCTGCAAGATGAATTGGGACACTCGATTGAATCAGCGTTGGAACTATAGAAGACAACAAGTTGGGAGATGGAAATGCCTTATCAGTTGTTGTTAGTTTCTGAGTTTCATCTTCTGCTGCTGAGAGAAATTCGGTTGTTGTTAGATCGGGGGAGCTTGGTGGTTGCTCCACCTCATTCTGCTGGTTTCCAATGGAACCATCAGACTGCGGAGGTTCTAGAAGCGACATTGAGTCAGGAAACACAAGGAGGGGATCATCTTCCCGCTAATTAGAACGAAAGACTCCAAACGTCTGGACATGCAGATGAACCAGGCACGATGAAGCGACTCGCCAACTGTAATGAACGAATTTCCAAAAGACATAAGAATGATATTTCGCAAGAGGAGGAAACGTCGGATGGAGATGTAGAACTTCCTCAAATGATACAAGAGGAGATTGGGACAACGATCGTGTCATCCACCGACAATGTGTCCCAAACTGGGCGAGTGGTTTCTCCCACAAAAGTTGACTTTCCGCAAACCATTCCCTTCGTTGGAAATCCATCCGGCGGTCGTTCAGTTTCTGTCGCTCTTCCGGCGTCCATCGTGGCAAACGCACAAGTACGGCTCAGTGATTTGATTCCTTGTCAATAGATTGATTCTTCTAGTCTTTCGAGTTGAGGGCGTATCTGGTTGGTCAAATCGCTCGCATCCTGACTGTTTTCGGAATTGGAGAAATCGTCGTGTTCGAAGACTCTTGTGAGCAACTCAATTGTGTTTTCGAGTGTTTATTCCTTTTGCAGCTTCTGCAGTCAATCAAGGGACTCCATTCAATGCTGACGAGTTTCTGTCTTTCTATTCTGGTAAGAGATTTAAGTTGGAGAATTTGTTTGATTCATTTGTACTTCATTGTTGTAGACGCAAAGGTTGTTGATGGATCGGCAATTGAAAGACCGTCCAATGGTCTCAGTAGAGAAGTTGATTCAACAGAAGTAACTCGAAAACCGAAGCAGTTGAAAGAAAACATCAAAACTAGAGAAACAAAAAAAGTTAAGAAAAGTAGAGAATCAACAGAAGATGAAGGCAAAGAAGAAAGTGAAGATGAAGGCCAAGAGGAAAGTGAAGATGAAGACAAAGAGGAAAGTGAAGATGATGATGCTCCGATAGATGAATCAGACTTACCACAAGATGCAGAAATGCTACATGACTGCAAATGGTCTACAGCACTGCAATTTTTTGTAAGAAATTTAGCCTATTTGGAAACGCCACAGTATTTGAGGAAGGCGCTTTTCAAAATGCACCCTTCACTCCGAATGGCTGGTCTTCAAAATCCACTCGATGCTCCACACCATATGAGGGCGAATGAGTGGTTGCCTTACAGGTGGGATGAATTTTCAAACGCATTTCATTTATTAATTTGGTGTAGGGATGGCGTTGTTCGTTCCCATTATCGACAACCCCATCGTAAAAATTGTGGTCCATCGAGTATCATTGATTGTGGGTTGCCGTTGTTTGTTCGTGTTCCCGGAATTTATCCCAAATCTTCAAGGTATGGAATTTGATGCAGAGCAACAATTGATGGATAGTACCGAGTTGACTTAAGAAAGGTTTCGGACAACTTTGCAAATTTCAGGGTTACAGTTCGTCTTGATTCTTCGGAAAAATCTCGATGTGAAAAAAAGCATCGTTTTTCTAGACGGAAAGGAAACGATGGAAGCGACGATGAAAACCGATTTGGAACGAATTTTCTGAAGGGCGTTATTGTTCCACGACGTGAACCAGAAGATGAACATGGTACTTGATTTTTAGGTTATGGCTCCATAACTGTTTCATGGTAGGGTTGTATTGGGGCTATAAAGTCCGTGCAGCTCGAAGTTTGAAAGAAGCTTTTGATTGTGGATATGATTTGATTGTGGGAACATCCGAAAAAGGAGATGCGGTGAATCCGAAAACATTCGAGCTGGCCAAACCAAACTTTGAGTGAGGAGTGTCTGTTTGGAGAAAGAGTTTCATTTTTTGTGTTTTTATTTCAGACGTTGTTTGATCGTGTTTGGTGGTCTCGGTGGATTGGAAGAAAGCATTGAGGATGAACAATCAGAAGTGGGTGTGAATTGAGTTGACAAGATCATTTTGGCTTTTCGTAGATTCCAATGTCAAATCCTCGTCAACTCTTTCATCAATATATCAACGTTTGTGATAAGCAAAGATCAAGGACGATTCGGGCAGAGGAAGCGTTGCTAGCGACACTCGCTCTTCTTCGCCCATTCCTTCTTTTTTAGCTCTTTTTCATACGATGGAACAACAGAAAAGCTACGTTGAAGTCACGAGTTCCAGTCACAAACTGGTTCTTAACCCCAAGAGGCTTCGCTCAAGAGAAAACAAACAAAACCACAATAAAATATTTTGCAAACCAATTGGAAAGCGCGAAAAATAGAAACCCTCAGAAATACAAAACTAGTGACTTCTCAGAAAAATTGTTGTTCTGGCGTCCAAAGGCTTCAGAGGAATTTGAAAAACATAAAGTTTGGGACATCCATTCTTCATTGTTAAACTTTGTGTCTGTTAACACTATCTTCCACTCGTGACGGCTTTCTTGCGATCCTCTTCGAACGCTTTGTCTGCCCCCAGCCCTGCCTTCGTATACACCCTTCTCTTCACTTCTAATGGTTCGTTCTTGTCTTTCGTTGGGACATACCCCATTCCCATCAACATCGCTAATCCGAAGTGTTCCACAGGGACCTCATCATAGTCTGTTTCAGAATCTATCCTTGAGTTTTTCCCCTGTCCCAAACTACTCACAACACCACGATGTGCTTCTATTAATGGTTTCATGTCCCTCTCTGTTGCGCGAATTTTGCTTGGAGGTCCGAGATCTTCCTCGTTCTCTTCTTCCGCATCATTTTTTCCTCCCAAAAGCCCAAAACTTTCAGAATTCATTAAATCTTTGATTGACTGATGGTTGTCTGTTTCTTTTCCTGCATTTTCTGCACGACGTCTCTTCTCTCGATGAGGAACGATTTCTACAATTTCATGTAGTTGACCATTTTTCTTCTGCTCTGGCAATAAAGTTCTACAAACAATTGGTTTGATCTGCTTCTGACTTTGCGTTATCTTTCCTTCGAATCCTGATGAATCCAATGATGTAATGAGCGACCGGGATTGAATACTTTCATCAACAGGACCGCTTGATTGATCAAAAAGTGATCGAACCTTTGAAGACTCTTCTGATGTCGTCGAGCTTAATTTTGTGACTGCTTGCTTCTTAAGCCCAAATGAAATCATTCCACCTTTTGAGAGACTGACAGAACAGTCTTACCTGGCACGGTCTTTCTCCCGCAATGGAAGCAGTTGGTGACCCACCGAATGCGTATCTAGATCGCAACCCAAAAGTTCATGGGAAATCCAACAGTCCTTCTAATGCGGAAGTCAGTAGTAGTCCACTTCATTCCCAGCATTTTGATTCCCTCAATGCATCTCATTCAACTGCTGCTGCTTCGTCGCACTCACCGATTGCAGAACATAAAAGCTCTTTGGATGAGTCAAGTGATACAAATTGCATTGCGACATCTTTGATTCCAACATTTCCAAATTATGGAAGATTTCGAGATCGTTTGATTCCAGATTCACTGATGACCCCCACTCTCGATTTTAGCGGTCATCGTCCTGAAGACTCGTCGGCAATTGAAGCGGATTGTGAATATGAATCAGATGAAGAAGATGAAGAGGAGCAGCGTCGTCGTCCTTCGTCTTTTAATCTTCCGAGGGTCTTCGAATCTCCATTTGTTGGAACAAGAATGCACGATTATGATGCTTCGAGACACCCTTATCGCAATCACCGTTTTGATTCTGTAGAAGCACGCTTACAAGGAACGCCAGAAATATCGGATACCGAATTTCAAACAAGTGGCGTGGCGAAGGATCCCAAGTGGGTCGATGGAGGCCGAAAGTATTATACAGATAGTTTCCAAGAAGACGTGGAGGACAAAAATGACTCATCTAATGGACAATATTTCTGGACAGATTGGGAGAATAATTCCCCAGTTTGGACAGGACAAGAGGGAAAGCCCCCAAATCCTTACGATAATGATTATTATTATCCTAAGAATACACCTAGAACTACTAGCGTGTTACAGTACAATTCAGAAAGTGGTGGAACATCTTTGTCCCAACCATTACTATCGTCCCAGTCGGTCACATCGAGCAACACAAATCCCCTTGTGTCCTTCTTCCATTTGATAACGTCTCCAATAAGATATTTCGTGCCTTCTCTTCTACCAGAGCAGGCCGCTAAGCCAGTCCAAACTGTCCAAACGTATGACCGTCCCATGTTCCGTCGCTATAGGAATGTCGTTTCACAGTACGGAACCCGGCGTATTGGCGTGAACCCTCCTCAAACACCCGTCGAAGTGTCTCGACGATTTCAAACGCGACGCCGTATTCGTCCATCAGAAGGAGATTGGAGACGCGTTCATCTTCACTCTCTCGACTCATCAACAGGAGGATCAATTGAACCGATTCCCGCCACTTATCAAGAACTTAATGGTGGAAGGAGACGATTTTTGTCGATGGGTTCATCCGTATCGATGAATGAAGAGGGACGACGAACAAACTCAGTCGAAATTGGGAAATTGTCGTCTCTTGCAGTCGATCATAATAGAAGAGACTTATTAGTGAGACAGACAACAATTCCATCACGGAGAAAAACAACAGGACGACGCCAACAGCCTAATTCTCTCTCCAAGAATTTACGGAAGGGTTCAAGGCAACTCTTTTCAAAGCCATCAGCTCGCAGTGATGGATCCAACAAAGGACAGGTAGGAGTGTGTGAGACCGTCCCTAATATGAGAGATTTGGGACATTGCGAACTGGTTACAGGGTGGTCGAAGCCATTGGCGAGAAGTTGTTGGATTTTGTGATACTCAACGATACAATTTGCATCAATTGCACAATGATCTGATGAAGTAGGTGATGAGTCGAACCGAATTTGTTGGTTGCGGATGCTTAGAAGGATTGATTGGTGTGGTTGTCTTCTCAGTATGAATGTATGTTGCGAATTTACGCACGAAGAGAAAACAATTTTGCAAATTAATGGGAACGATTTAATTAATTCGAATGGAATTCAAAGCAACTCTGTTGATGTACGTGAGAATGGAATGGCGAGAGTTCCAACAGTCGTAGAGCTCAACGGTGGGTATTCAAGTTTCAATCAAGAAGAATATGAAAGAAAACCAATTGAGGAGGTAAGTGGCTTCTATGGAAAGATGCCTTGCAGACTTTAACATGACTTCTTATCCTAATGTCATTGATCTGCATTTATGGCTTCATTTGTGATTGTCCTCCCGTTTTCAGATCAATTTATTTGTCTTTGATAATGGTGTTGCCGTCATATGGGGACTGAGAGATACGGAAGAGAATGAAACGCAAGCATCTCGAATTTCAAAGTTTTTAACAAAATATGCGGGTGAGATTCCTTCATTTGAATAAAACACGTCGTACTGTTGTTCAGAATCTCCACTTCGCAGCTCATGGCAATCTCGTTTTTGCATGACATTTTGTCGCATTGAAGATCTTCCTTCAGATTTCCCAATTCCGGCTTCGCGCATCAAGCATGACCGACTCTACATGAAATCGAATTCGATGGATGAACAACTTGCAGCATCGCTAGCATTGGCACAATCAACGCGCTTAACTGCTTACGGTATATGAATCGCCATGTGGCTGGATTTCTGAGTTCTTTCTTTTTCAGAGGAAGCTGTTGAAGAAACAATACGAAAGTACGGGGCTTCTACATTAGGGATGGTGGCTTCTACATTAGGGATGGTGGCTTCTACATTAGGGATGGTGGCTTCTACATTAGGGATGGTGGCTTCTACATTAGGGATGGTGGCTTCTACATTAGGGATGGTGGCTTCTACATTAGGGATGGTGGCTTCTACATTAGGGATGGTGGCTTCTACATTAGGGATGGTGGCTTCTACATTAGGGATGGTGGCTTCTACATTAGGGATGGTGGCTTCTACATTAGGGATGGTGGCTTCTACATTAGGGATGGTGGCTTCTACATTAGGGATGGTGGCTTCTACATTAGGGATGGTGGCTTCTACATTAGGGATGGTGGCTTCTACATTAGGGATGGTGGCTTCTACATTAGGGATGGTGGCTTCTACATTAGGGATGGTGGCTTCTACATTAGGGATGGTGGCTTACTCTACATGAATGTCCCATTTTTGTCTCAGGTTTGGAAAGTTGCCACTTCGTATTGCATCAAATGAATTTTATGAATATTTAAATTACGGTTCCACAGAAGGAACAAATATTCGTAAATGGGTTGCGGAAGTTTATAATTTGATTATTGCAGTTAATATTGTTGAAGGTACAACGCGTCGGGATTTCTGTTCTCATTGAGCGTTGTATTCCATTCATCCTCCAATTTTGTGTTTTTCAGATTTCCTAGATGTTCCGGAGTATTTTTGGCATCACGATGAGTATCAGCCATTTTGGGATCGTGTTCATCAGTATCTCGATGTAGAAGAAAGAATTCAGATCCTTAATGTGCGTGTTGGTTGCATTCAAGAAATATTGAAAGTTGTATCAAACGAAAGAGTAGAAGGTCAGTGGTTGTAGTTTTTGTTGATTTATTAATCTTCTTTTTTCTTTTTTTAGCACAAGGTTTTCATCTTGCTTGGTGTGTGATTGTTCTTTTGGTTCTAAATGTGGTTGCGATCGTCATTCGTGAATCGTTGGATCGTGGACGCCGTAACGTCGCATGAATCATTCCCTGCCACGAAGACAACAACAACAACCATCTCTCTTCATAGAATGGTTCAACTGTGTATCTGGACAACGATTCTTCGTCGCTGTAATTCTTTTCCCAATGACGTTTTTTTGACTTGATAGATGGGGATTCCGTGCTTGACGATTTTTTGAATGTGATTTTTTTGTTTGCCTGCTGGCCTATGAGTTGAGCGTAAGAGCTCTAAACAATTAAGCAATACGGAGTTTTGTTGCAGATGGCAGGATTCAATGTTAGTTATATGAATTTGTATTATGGTAAGAGATTTGGATATGATTCCAGACTTCTATCCCTTTGTTCTTTAGACCGGATATTCCCATTCAATCTTTTATATAAATGGTTAACACATTCAAGTATGAACACGACGGCCAACTCGATAGATTCTCTCTCTTTTGTAGAAGATGGAGATTCACAATTGTTGTCATGTCGTGAATTTTCAATGAGCGTATCTCGTGATGAGGACGAATTCTATATGAGGTATTGAATATCTGTAATTGTCAGCATTCATGGATATTCAGATGGCACTCATTCCCAAATGGAGAGGCATTGAAGAAAAAACTCTTGTCAATGTCTCCTCCCCCTCATAAAATCGACATTGGAGCAATTTACAGTCTACCAGTAGGTCGTGCCAAGATTTTGATGAAAGTCTCTGGCTAGCGACGAACCCATTAATTCATGATTAATAATAACTCTTTGTTGCTCATATCGAGTCCCTCTCACTTCAGGTTTCTCAAAAAGAGTCAGGAAATCATTTTTTTCCGAAAGAAAAGGAAATTGTTTTGGACATCGACATGAATGATTATGATGAGATTCGCACTTGTTGCAAAGATAAGAAAATTTGTCAAAAATGTTGGAGATTTTTGGTCATTGCGATGGACATGTTGGAAGCAACATTACGAGGTGCACTCAGAATACATCTATTTCATCAACACCATCCAAGTGGTCAAACAGGAAATAAACTATTCCTCATTTCCATTATTTCTGAATGTTGCAGAAGATTTGGGGTTTCGGCATCTTCTATGGGTGTTTTTCTGGCCGCAGAGGCGTTCATTGCTGGATTTGTGACGCAGCAGCTAAAAAATACCCAACTGTTTACCGCCAAGCCCTCGCTGATTATCTTAATATCGTTACAGTGAGGATCAATTCTCATTAACTTTGATTAATGGCGATTCAGGGAGGCACAAATCAGAAAAAGAAGGTTCGAATATTCGGCGAAGAACCCGATCCGATGATGCGGTAAATAACGAACGCTCGAATTTCTCCATATACAATCTGTTGCAGACGCTCATTTGAGAGAAATGAAAAAGAGTTTTTAAAACTCGTTGAAGAGCAAGATTTTTTCCGTCAGGGAGGTCCAATGGAGGCCGTCGTGGATTACTACATCGCTTCATGTAAACCGACAAAGAACAACAGTGGAAGGACCGCAGAAGGTTCGTTTTTATTGCAGTTAATTCTTATTTGCTATGATCAGCCGAATACAAATTGTTTAAGGAGTCTATGTGGAATGGCAGTTCAATTGAGTTATGGAGATTTGTGAGCTTCTCATCAATAGATTGAAGAATTTCAATTTCTTAGATATGCCAATTGTGTCAATCGATTGGAGACAAAACAACAGCTATTGAATTAATGCTGGCATTCTGTTATCCGAGATTAGATATACATGTTACGTAAGCATCTATCCATCAACGGGGGACATGATTCGCTTTTAGGAAGGATTTGGGACATCTGTTGAAGAGTCCATTTTGTATTCACAAAGCAACGGGATCAGTCTGCATTCCGTTGCTGCCAAAACAGAAGAAGGATTTTGACCCTTCGACTGCCCCAAATTTGAACGGCATCAGGGAGCAATTCCTTCAACGTATGAAGCTCTTGAAGGAAGACTCGATTCTATATTCTCTTTCTATTTCAGACAAATCTGTTGAGTTGACGGATATTTGGCCCTACATTCGATATTTCGAGGACGAATTTCTCACTCCTTTGCTTGGAGACAACTCTTCATCATCAGTAGAAGAGACTCGAGGAGTAGAGGATTGTGGGTATGCGATAAAAGGGGATCATCATGAAATCGTGCGACCAGATCATGATGAAAATTGCATGTTGCTAGATTGGTGAATGAATTGTTCACATTACTGTTGATGTTTGAACACAACGCTTCAAGCAATTGCTTCAAAACACAAACTTGATTGACGACGAAAAAACGACACATATTGATGATTAAAACGAGTCCAATTTGATGACACAAACTGTCGTATCATCAAAGACACGACGTTTCTGTTTGGGAGTCATTATCGCTACTTGGGACATCGTCAATCCCGACTCCTCTAACGCCTTCCGTAATACATCTTGAATAACACTGAAACAGAAACTCAGTCAGCCACTCCATCAAATCTTCTCAAAACACATCGCGCTACATTCTGATGCACATCCTTCATCCATCAACAGACGATCTTACTTGGCAGCAGCTATTTGAGGAGATGTTTGCAAACCACTTCGGGCGATATCGATAGCCTGACGAAACAAAAGTATGATTGGAACCTTCCCAGAAAAATTACCTCCTTTGGGGTCAAAAAGTCCCAAACACCGTCAGAAGCTAACAAGATAAATTGTCCGGGCTGTTTTGATCGTGAATAGATTTTCGTTGTGGGTTCTGCTGTAATGTAAGGAAATGAAGTTCCATTCTTAATGAAGGGTCTGAAGCAGATGAAATAACACGTTGCATCCATTCCACACATTGTTACCTGTTTGTTTCCTGATCGTACGATAATTCTTTCACTTTTAAGTCAAAATCACCGAACGCTCTCGTTGGTTGAAGACGATTTTTGACGTAACAGGCAGTCTGCTTAATTTCATTTCCCAAATATCCCGTCCAGAATTGTGGGTAATCATACCAGTAGCGAGGCTGCCGATCCACCTGAAAGCTTTTCTTGCAAACCACCTGCAAACAAAAATGAATGTTTTACTTCTTTCTCCCAATTACTTACAATGTCATCCTCTCCAGGATGTTCTTTTCTCAGCCGTTCTCTTTCCTCTTCTTCATTGGCACTGTGTGGGTCACTCAGAGCATGTGCCCCTCCATTATGATCAATGACTGCTCGACAATCTCCAGCATTTGCAACAATGACCGAGGTCTTCGTAATTAAAGCAATCACGCAGCAGGCACCAACCTAGAAAGGAATTATCTAGAGAGCTGGGGCGGAATTATTGACATATGGGAGAGATACAGATCAATCACTGAGCCAGTGAACGACACTTGTAGAACAGATGACACTTCTACGATCAACATACTCTAGCGTTTCTGCTCAATCCAATGTCGCAGCTTCCTTTTACTTTTCCTAAAATGTCTTCATCGAGTAAATTAAACGCACTTTTCACTGCTTCAGCCAATTCAGCATCCGTTAAAGGGACAGTACAATCGATTGGTCTCATTGCTGCTGCTTTGTTTATACAACGCTCAATATACGCACCAACTTTTCGCTGAACATAATCAGCTACCAAACACACGTAGAACACATTTCAATTCCTTCTACTTACCAACTTCCCATCCACCATGACCATCCATCACACCAGCAACAACAAGATCACCGTTGCTTACTGTTCGAATCTGCTGAATCACACCTCGATCTTCCAATTGTTCATTCGCGTTGATTTGAGCAATCGCCATTTGATCACTTTGAGGCACGGCAAGCGACCAGGAGGGATCAGCGTCCTCCAACTCTCCGTAAACAGAATCGTCATCTTCAGGCTCGTCAGGTTTAACATCTTTCTTCCACATCGATAGATAACTCTCACGTTGTGATTCTATCGGCCGCTTTGCTAAAGGAACGGCTTCACAAGCTGCGAACCTCTGAACTCCCTTTCTATTCCGGTCGTTCGATAAAACGAAAAATCCAGCAGCCCCACAAAGAGCTGCTGTATGTTGGAAGAGATACCCATAGTTGTACCCATTGCTCGAATACTGGCGGAGAAGAGAAGTGTTCGTTGCTCTGAAGGCTCTCATGATTGACTGATCGTCAGATCTGGTGCAGGTCTGAGTCAGGATCATGCAAAACGATACGGGAGTTTCGCCGGCGGGCTCTCTCGGATCGACTGAATTGGTGGATCTTGGAGACGTCGTGGGGAGAGAATTCATCTCCCAAATTTATCAATCTCCCGTTTATCTTGCGAATCTGAAGTCGCGATGCAGTTTCTCTCGCTGGGTAACTGCAATTGCTGTTGTAGATTTCGATGTGAATGAAGGCCACAGTCTGGGCGAAGAATATCCACCTGGTGTTTTATCTGAGGAAGAGAAAGAGAGATTAATTCGTATGAGTCTCCCTGACTCGAATGCATTTCAAGGGAGAGCGTCTCGCAAGATGAACCAAACGAGTCGATCAAGTGATAATCAGTATATTAGAGGGACATTCAATGTCCCAAATAATTGGTTTTGTCTACGTTTACGGCATGATAGCTGTTTATCTTTGAATCATTCAAGTGTTTCGGATCAAAGATTTTCGATTGGTGCAGGAATTTTCAGATCTGTCGAAGATTTAAATAATCGAAGGAAGGCGAAACAAGAATCCCTCGTTATTTTATCGCCCCTTCCAATCTCATACTTCTTACCTTTATTGCTGCCTCTCTCGACGTTTATCGCAAACGCATACTTTAATTACGGATCCAGCGCTATTTACGATACTTGTGCATGTATTGGGACATGGCCACTTCCGGCATCCCATCAGTCATTGACTCTTTCCCTCTCTCTTTCAATGTCAAAGGACTCGCTGGAGCTGAGACTTCCCGTTCCGCCGCCTGACGCTTTCCCTCCACCTCTTCCGAACCCTCGTCCAGCTCAGCGTTCTTCAGCATCAAATGTCGCGCGATTCTTTCGCCTTCATCATCCTCGGAGGACTCCCCAAATTGCTTCCCCTTCCCATCATTTTTTCGATCATCTTCCACGCTACAAGGAATTCCGACGTTCTGATTCGGAAAGAACTCCAACGGTCCGTGCGCGTCTCGATCGCTCTGACGACGTTAACCGTTCTGACCCTCTTGTCGTAACCCAATTGTCGAAATCTCTAGAACTGTCGGTCGACGAAGTTTCAGATGAGGATCGTTTGTGGACTCCCAAATCAATTATCGCCCTTTGGTCGTTAGTTCGTGCGTCAAACTCTTCTAAAGAATCAAAATGTCCTTCTCCATCAATCAAAGATTTTAATGAAAGTCCTTCGTCTTCTACCACACTACGAAAGAATACTAGCTTCTACAGTGCAACAAATGATAGTTTCAGCAATTCTGATGATGATGATGATGATGAGATCGAATCTGTCCTTTCATCATTGTCTTCTCTCTTCGCGTTGGATCCTTCACCATTAGGATCGCTAGATTCATCGGCGCAAGAATTTCTTTCCCCTTCCTCTGGAATCAAGGCGGACTCTCAGGATTCCAAACCACCTTCTCTTTTGACTTCCTGTCTTTTGACTTCTTCTACAATCCTTCAACCAACTCCGCCGCAGTCTCTAGATTCCTCCACATTCATTGAGGAAGTCGGATGGGATCAAGAATTAGGATTGGGACATCAACACATCGTTAAACAATCTTCTGGGGAAGTCGATCGACCCTCCATATCCCAAGGACGAATTACAAGACGATTTCAAGAACACTCCCACTCGAATCGTCGTCGCTCCGAAGCCCCTCCCTCCTACAGTCTCGAGCCAGTCCGTCGGCGTCTCAGAAAACGAAGATCCAGACGGAAGGGATTGGGGACTCCATCGCGATTGGGACACTTAAGAGCTGCATTGAAAGATCTCTTAGTCAAATATTATGATCCTCGGATTGAACCACTCAAAAATCAAAAAATCCCTCAAGGATTAAATTTTGCGTATCCCAATATATTAACGTCATTAGGTCCGCTTTCTAATTGTCTATGGTCTCTATGGGAGTTGGTGATTGTTGGAGCACCATTATTAATTTTATCATCAACTCCTTCAAGATGTTCTTCTATTGTTTTATCTTTAATTGATTTGATTCATCCGCTACAATACGGTGGAGATTTCAGGTAGAGAGGGTTCTGTAGGCATCTTCTCATTTAAAATCAACTTACGTTCTTTTTTTGTCTTTCTTCAGGCCATACGCCAATTCATTCGATCCTGATATCATTCACTACAGAGAATCTTTTCTACCGGCATCAGAAATTGTTTCTCATCCTTCAATTCTCATCGGAGCGTCAGATCCACTTCTACTTTCACTGTTTGTAAGTCTGGCACTGTGTGTCCATCTGAATGTCTTTTATTGTATCATCTCAATTGGATTTTCTCTTTCAGTCCGCATGTCCCAATGTGGGTGTCGTTGAAGCGTCCAAAGCCCTGTTTCCCTTTCTTCTCCCAATCCCTTCTCTGGGATCGCTACGCAGTCGAAATGCTTTCAATTTGTCCCAAACACCTTTTATGTCCCAACCCTTCACATTTCGTCACGATTCTCCTTCCTCTCGTAATGCAACTTCTAAACAAGGAGATGACTCACGAACATCTTGGTTGAAGCTTTCGAGTGAGGGCGGAATCCCGAAAGATCCCAAACTTGCAAAACGCGTTTCGGATCTTTTTGGTCCTTCTGTTTTGGATTTCGCTTCTTTTATTGGGACATTCAGCAGTCAACTTGGGATCCCATCAATCAACTCTTCTACAAAGTCATCAAACGATTTAATGGATGAAGATCTATCGAATATTATTCGAATACATTTTCATGATCTTACTATTAAATCCTTAAACCATTTGATATTTATCTTCAAGTATGTTTTTCAGATTTGATTCTCTTTGAATCATCGTGTGTGTATTTAAATAGACGCTTATAACCAATTGCTACATTTCTATAATTGACAGTTAATCACTCTTTTCTTTCTTCAGCCTGATCTTAAAGGTATAATGGTCAATCCCCTACAAGAAACTCCAAAACCAGTCGCTTTTATTCCAGAAGCCTTTCTAGATTCAATCGGAAGTTCTTCTTCTCCCGTTTTGCTTCCGTTCTCAGATCTTCCACGCGCTAGGTGTGTCACCGTATTTCTTGTCCCAATCCCGATTCCCGTTCCGTCAGACTCGCCGCTTTGTACCGTGAATTTATATCAACGCGGACATTTCGGTGTTGGTTTTGTGAAGCACAAGCCATTCGCCAAGCAGCTACTCGTCGAACACAGTTTTCGTATTGTGCCGCAGTAAGTGTTTATTTTTTGCACACCATCAATCCTTTATTTCAGATCAACCCCTCGTCCTTGTTCCCCCGTTTATCGCTTAATGAAGCTGTAGAAGGTTGCGCTCATTTGCGGTGAGATTTATCACATTGATTGGATCAGTAAAATTCAAAGAAATAAAAATTTCTCTTTTGCAGACATCTTCTCAGAGAGTGTCATCGCCATGCCCCTGCTGATGAAATCGTGAGGGTTCGACGTTTAGCAACCGAATTGAAGAAATTTGCGAAACATCTTTTGGTCTCAAGATGGAAACATCACCAGAGGTCTCAGTCGTGACGACTCCACGACGTCAGAGAACAGTTTCTCGACAATCCAACCAATTTTTGCCATTTGAAGAACCACGTCATCAAGATCAGAAACGAAGAGAGAGAAGCTTCAAGAGTGATGAGGAAGAATATCTTTCGGCAGAGGATGATTGATTTCTATCAATGTTCTATAATTTTTGGGATTTGGGACATTTTCCCAAAACTTGGAACACACACCCATATCTTCTGACGATACGGATTGCAAGTCTAAAACTACTTCAATCACAAATATAAAAAGATAAATTATAGATCTCATACTCGAATCTTTCATCCATGATAGTAAAGTTCGTATTCCTTTGGATGTGGAATCTTTTCAAGTTGTTGATGCTCCAAACGTTTCAGGTTAATAAACCGCTGTAGAAATGAATCTGAGAAGACCATCCCACGCTTCAGAAAATCGTGATCCCGCTCCAGCGCATCTAAAGCTTTTCCCAACGAGTCTGGGAAGCAGGGAATTTTTGACTTTTCACCGATCGACAGACTGAACAAATCTCCATCGACTGGTTGTGGTGGTTCAATTTTGTTAACGATCCCATCAATACCTACAAGATCAATCACTCTTATGAAAATGACACTCTGCTTAACACTCTCATAACGATGACGCTCTTATAACAATGACGCTCTTACCTGCCATCAACAAAGCGCTGAATGCTAAATATGGGCAAGCGGTAGGATCTGGAAACCGGCATTCAATGCGTTTCGTGTTGGGATTTTCCCCCATAGGAATTCGAATAGCAGCACTACGATTTCCCTGAAAGCAACGAGTTTCATGATAATCTCTTCATCAATCTTACCTTTTGAATACGCGACAAGATGAGGAGCTGCTGTATCTGGAACGAGTCGTTTATATGAATTTGTTGTTGGATTCGTGAATACACAGAGAGAAGCAGCATGTTTGAGTATTCCTCCAATGTAGTGCAACGCAAGAGTTGAGAGCTCGCCATATTTTGTGGGATCGTGAAAGAGACATTTATTGTCCTTCCACAAACTCTGATAGATTCGAAGGCCATTCCCAATGGCGTTGTTGATTGGCTTTGCCATGAATGTTGCTGATTTTTTGTTTAGTCGACAAATATTTCTCACAATATATTTACATGACATCAGATTATCAGCTGATCTCAACATTTCATCTCCAGTGAATCCCACTTGGCATTGCGAATATCTAACATCCAAATAGTCAACCAGAACCACAACAATTCTACGCACCCCTGTTCATGTTGATGTTTCTCAATATTTAATCCTATAGATGACATCACCAGAAGCATATCCGAACGAAGATCTGTTAATGAGTCCATCGATTTTGATGTAGGACACACAACTCCATTATGGTATCCCACATTACTGTCCTCTTGTCGTTTCCTATTCCAAGGCCCTTCTAGATTATCTACTTGAACAGAGATCTCTTCAGACTTGATATCATACCGTACATGGTCCATTACTAAAAAACTCTGCCTCAGGGCCTACAAAAAAGGAAAC